GCTCAGTGCCCCTCCCCCCACCTCATGTTCTGTCTCTCTCCCTCTCAAAAATAAAAAAAAATAAAATAAACATTAAAAAAATGTTTAAAGGGCAGCTCAAACTTAACAAATTCAAGTCTGAGTCTTGATTTTGTGTTCAAAACTATCTTCTACTTGAGTCTCCCAATCTTAGTTAATAGCAACTCTGTTCTTCTGTTTGCTCTCGTGAAATAATTGGTAGTCATCCTTGATTCTTCTCTTCCACTCACACCCCATGTCCAATCCATCAACACTTTCTGTCACCTCATTCTTCAGAATATTGTTAAAATCCAGCCATTCTTAAAGATTTTGTCCCTCATCCCAGCTCACTATTCAATCACAAGCTCCACCCACTCTACCTTCTAGATATCTTTAAAATATGTGCATGTCCCACTAATTACATAGTTGAATTCACCATCACCGACCACCCGAACTTCTGATATTTTTTTTTCATTTTTCTTCCTTTTAAACACACCCAGCTATCACACCACATGGCAACCAGTGACATGTTTTTTTGTTGTTGTTGTTTTCCAAACATGTTTGTACATCACCCCTTTACTTAAAATTCTCCTCCTTGCTCTCAGGTTAAGAATTCTTTAATGAGAACTACAAGGTCCCACATAATCTGGTGCCTTCATGCCTCTCCAGGTTCTTGTCTTTCCTCCTCTCAAACCCCACCAGGCTTCTCCTGGCTTACCCACCCATCTGCAATTACCTTTCTTAATCTCTATTCATGACAGTACTTCAAAGATTTGCTTAAAATCTCATTTCCTTTGAACTGCCTTTTCAAAATCTGTCTTCTTGATGGACTTTTCACTTTAATCACCTCTTCAGATCTTTCACACAACTTCTAAGCACACACTCAATAAAATATTTCAGGGGCGCCTGGGTGGCGCAGTCGGTTAAGCGTCCGACTTCAGCCAGGTCACGATCTCACGGTCCGGCAGTTCGAGCCCCGCGTCAGGCTCTGGGCTGATGGCTCAGAGCCTGGAGCCTGTTTCCGATTCTGTGTCTCCCTCTCTCTCTGCCCCTCCCCCATTCATGCTCTGTCTCTCTCTGTCCCAAAAATTAATAAAACGTTGAAAAAAAAATATTTCAAAGAAATAAGTTCTAGGAAAGATTACAAATGAAATGCCTACTTTTTCAGATATATATTAGTTTTTACCCTCAGAAAAATGGGGATAATAATACTGTATATCTTATAGTTGTGTGCACGTGACATAAGACAGCCATATAAAGACTTAGTATATCGGTACTAATATTTAATAAATAGCAACAATTATTATTTACAGTTAAAATAATCGTATTTAAATATCATTATGATTATTTTAGAGATAATTCCAGTGTCCAAATATTTTGCCAGGGATGAAAACAGAGTAATCAAGGAAAACATCTAGGGAGAGAAGACTTCGTATAGATGAAAGAATGCATATTTTGGGAGGCATGCAAAGAAAAAGGGAATTAGCAAAATAAATAAGGAAAAGACAACAGCTACAAAAAGAGTTAGTTCCATGTCATGAACTATTGAATTCTCTTTGTAGTGACAAATCTGTTTTCTCTGATAATCAGATTGGATACTTAATATTAACAGAAGCCTTTGTATCTAAATCTGTTTAATCAAGAAACCAAATATCTTAAAAACTTTAAATCAAAATAGTGTGTAATGATAAGGAAATTATAGTGACTTTCCTTCTGTGGGTAAGGAAGGCTTCCCAGAGGACATTCAACTTAAGCTAAATCATAAAAGATAAGGAAAATCTATATGGAATAAAATCGTGGGGGTGAAAGGGATCTTAGATGCTGAAAACAGCACAAATAAGAGCTTTAGGTACAAGAGTTCCTTCAGGAACAGAAAGTAGACCAGTTTTATAGATATTGCTAAGGACAAGTAGGAGATTTTGAAACAGCGCATTGGACTCTGGGTGTGACGAAGTTCAAATGCCAAGGTAAGATATGTAAAGCTTATGTTACTAAAAATAATGGGTTTTCAGCTGAATATTCGTACAATTAAAGTGATGTTTTGGTGAAACTGGTGTAGTTATGCTTTCATATGTTCAGGAGGGAAAAAAAAGACATTATAAGAAGAGGTATCAGACTAGAGGTAAATTTCATAATTTAGGAAAGAAATTCCACTATAAAAGACTAAACTGGAGAAATATGAGTGAAAAGGACCATTACAAAATTACAAAAGAAAAGGCAAATGAGGGGGGAAAATAGAGATCAGAGAAAAAAGAAATGTCAGAGATGACTCCTATGTTTTGAGCTTGAAGAACTTGGAGGAAAATAATGACATTTATACAAACATGTGGGTGTGATGTTTTGTCACTGACATTAAGCTGAATTGCCAAGACACAGTCTCTTAAGACTACTAATTATCTCCTGGGATTAGTATATCTGCTCATCACTCAGCTATCATAGCTGATGTTGGCAGCTCCTTGGTAGGAAAACAGACAAGTCAGAAAAATAAGAGAGATAAGTCAGAAGAACAATTTTAACCTATTTTAATAAATAATATTAATTATTGGTATTATGCTGAAGTGGAATAGTTTTCTTCAAAATTCAAACATGATTTTTAACAGATATAGAAACTTTTTTGGGGGGGCGCCTGGGTGGCGCAGTCGGTTAAGCGTCCGACTTCAGCCAGGTCACGATCTCGCGGTCCGGGAGTTCGAGCCCCGCGTCGGGCTCTGGGCTGATGGCTCAGAGCCTGGAGCCTGTTTCCGATTCTGTGTCTCCCTCTCTCTCTGCCCCTCCCCCGTTCATGCTCTGTCTCTCCCTGTCCCAAAAATAAATAAACGTTGAAAAAAAAATAAAAAAAAAAAAGAAACTTTTTTTTTTACTTTATTTATTCAGTACATATTTATTGAGTCCTTACATGGCTCAAGGCATAGAGAGGGATGCACAAAATGTAAATATAGCCTAAGTGACATAGGGTGGATATTACTTGAATGTAGCCTTACAGACATAGAAGATGGTGAAAGGAGTGACTTTCAGCTAGACTAGGATGGTATGAAAGAAAATGTTTGTAGGTGGGAAAATAAAAGGAATTTGAAAGGAAGTGTCCAGCTTGGTAGAAATACAGGGCACACCTAGAGGAGAAAAAATTGTATCAGGTAGGACTATGTTTTAAAGTCCATGAATGCCGAAATCAAGGCTTTGGAGTTTTCAAATAGGAAATGAGGAGTTACTGCAAGTGTTCAGTTCTGATGAAAATAATAATAAGCCAGCACTGTGTACCAGGCACGCACCAGCCCTGCTGTCAGTGAAAACTCACCCAATGAATGAATGCCTCAGTGAGCTGAATTGCTATATTTACTATTATGGGGGATACAAAGTTAAACAAATTGCAGATGATGCCATTAAACAATTAACAGCATGGCTAAGGGAGGGAACAGGCAATATTTATCCTCATATCCCCACAACACAAGATAGGATTGATGAAACAGAATACCTTAGATGTTTAAAAACCACTGCAAGAGCTTGACGTCGGCCACTATTTACTGATCCCCACTATGAGGCAGGTGGTATACTAGGTTCACGACATGGCATCATGCCACTTCCCTCCTTAGAACTCTTCAGGGTCTTCCTAGTGCTTCTAGCAGAAAAATAAGAACTCTTTACACTTCACGTAAGCCCTACAAGACTCGTAGGCAACTCTCATTACAGGAACGTTCTTTGTCACACTCTATACTCCAGCCATCCAGGCATAGCAGCTTTTCAGAACATAACAAATTCTTGCATCAGGGACTTTGCTTTCATTGTTTTTTTTTCTGCCAGAAATGTTTTGCCCCAGATCCTTAGAAGACTCGCTTCTTCTCATCATTCAAGTTTAAATCTAAAATAATGCTATTTATTTAGTTGTTGGTTATCTTTTCCCAAGTATTGAAAGCATTTTTACATAATAGATACTCATAAATATTTGTGAAATCAGTGAATATATGGATCATTTTGTTTTATTCCTTGTAACAACTCAGTTAAGAACTATCTAGCTTAAACATGAGGAAGTAGAGCTCAGAAATATTAAAATAACTCCCTTCTGGTCACCAAGGTCCTAAGTGTTAGAACACAAATGAGAAAATTATCCCAAAGTCTTTCCACTGTCCTGTACCATCTTCTTGTATAACGAAGAAATTGATTCCAGCTTTTGAGGTCTTCAGGAAGTTGCAGCATTGAACCTGAGACTTTGATGGATGATGGAAAAGGATGATCAGAGAAATAAAAGAACATCTAAAGAATTTGTGTAGAGTTGGACAAGTATCTTGACAAGAAGGTTTGGGGCATTTTACAAATTTTCAGATGAATGGTGTGCCTACTATAATAGACCTCTATTAGATCTTGCTGGGAATACTCATGTATAGTAATGGTATGGGGACAGGGATACACACACACACACACACACACACACACACATACATACACATGCATACACATATAGATCTATTCTGTGGAAGGCATGGGAGTCAGTGAAGAGGGGGATATTATTTGCTTTATTTTGGCAAACAAAAAGAAACACAAATCAGAATGAAAAGCAATGATGTGTGGGAAAACAACAAGGGGGAGTATGAAAATGAGGATGGGTTGGCAGAAGCCAATCTAGTAAATTTTATTTATTGTTTTGTCTATGGAGAGTACATTGTAAGTATTAGGGTCAAAGTACTAAGGGAAAAGGATTTGCGGGAAAAGAAATTTAAAAACATGAAATATCTTGTTTGATTTTTCACCGTCCTATTTTTGTTTATAATATCAAAATAAGGCTTTATCTGTGTTCTCTGTCAATGCCAACCCTCTCAACCTAGGAAATATAATTAAACCAAACATGTGTTCTACACTACAAAAAATAAATGTATGACCTTTCTGCTGTTTTGCATCAGATTAACTTTGTGTTTAGAAAAGAAATTATATAATATGTGTATCTACCATCTGTATAAACCATGTATTCCTTGATTAAACTAATGTAATTATATGCAAACTTATTTCCACAGATCAACATTGACTTCAGTACCAGGGACCTCATCTCAAAGAATATTGCAGAACCAACTCTCAAATGTTTTGATGAGGCTCAGAAGTTAATCTATAGTCTTATGGCCAAGGATTCTTTTCCTCGATTTCTAAAGTCAGAGATTTATAAGAAACTGGTAAATGGCAAGCAAGTTGGAAATCATAAAAAATGGTTTCCTTTTTTGTAAAAAAGGTTAATGATAAACCAGTAATGAAGTTAAAATTTGGGGAGAAACAAATGACAGGAGAGATCAACCTTTAATCGCTATACTCAAGGCTAAAATGTTTTAAATACACAAAAACAATAGAAGTTTCTTTTAGGGTTTAGAAAACATTTTTTTTTACTCCAGAAGAATACTTTTTTTAATATGTAAAGCTTGAATTTTTAAGTCATTTGTTTAGAATTATTCATTTTATCAGGTACTTAAAAATCTCCTACCGGGAGAATAAAAAGGAGTTAATAGAGATGTAATATACTCTTAAATCATAAGTGAATATTCTCATGACATTATGAATTCAAGAACTATGTATCTTTGTGTTGCTGAGTGTGAGCTTGTTTAGCACCATATATGTGATTTTAAATTCCATTTACATTATTCAAAACCTTCTGTAAAAAGAGAAATTCTGAACCAAAACACAACCCTCCACTTAGTGCATTCAACTATTTCCTTTCAATCAAGATTTGCCACATAACAATGTGTGTTATGGCTGTTAGATTAATTAAAAAGAAAACTGCAAGAATGTGTGCATATATAGATAATAACACCATGGATCTAACTTTGTCAAAATATATCAATTGGTTCAATTCAATGGCAGCATATAGGCATATGTGTAGAAAAGGTCTTGAGGGCACAGAGGACTGATTTTCTTAGATTTGTAAGGATATAAGGAAAGGGGAGAAATAAAATGGATGAATGGACAGATAAGTCCTTATAGAATGAACTGCATAGTAGTAACTGTGCCACAAAATAAAATGTGTATATATATATAGATATATATATATATATATATATATTGCAACATTATCTACCCAAATTAGGGACTTAAGCATCTATTCACTCATTCAGTACTGGAACTTGTTTATGGAACTCAAAGAAATTTTCAAAATGCATTTTTTGAGATATTCCTAAAACTGTTTCTTTCTATACATAAATATGAATAAGTATGAATAATTTTATGTCAAGACAAGAAGCTATAAAGATTCAAGAAAAATCTTCTGTTTCCACTTTATTTGCAAAGATTTATTTATTTTTGTTAATAACTCCAATTTGGAGATTATTTGAACATTTAAAAATGGAGGGCAAATAGCATGACTAACTTCGTGTTTCCACAAAGTATTCATTTGACAGACAAAATTTTGTCTTCTATTTGTCATGAAAAGTAAACATTTAAGCACATGCGAATTGAATATTCCCTGTACATTTGCAAATTCTTTAAAGGAAAGCATAATAAAAACTGATTGTAAAGTATTCAGTGCATCTTAAAGGTGCACTTAGTGGAACATGGTTACACACTTTTCATCATTTATTCTGAAAGTTCCAACCTTAATCTATTCTCTATTTAAATAGGAAACTTAAAAATTATTTCCAGGGAGAAAAAAAAATTATTCCCAGAGATGAAAAACATTTTAAAAATTAGAAGGTGGGGCGCCTGGGTGGCGCAGTCGGTTAAGCCTCCGACTTCAGCCAGGTCACGATCTCGCTGTCCGTGAGTTCGAGCCCCGCGTCAGGCTCTGGGCTGATGGCTCAGAGCCTGGACCCTGTTTCAGATTCTGTGTCTCCCTCTCTCTCTGCCCCTCCCCCGTTCATGCTCTGTCTCTCTCTGTCCCAAAAATAATAAATAAACGTTAAAAAAAAAATTAGAAGGAAACTTAGAAACTAAAATCACATCCTTTCTCTTAGACACACACGAAAAACACGAGATCTCAGTTATTTCCTCTAATAACACAGCTGGTAAGTGGCAGAGCCCGTGAGAACAGTGCTTCTCTCCCACAGCGCCATATTGGCTCTTGTCCCTGCAAAAGCGGTGTAGACTCCTTCCCTGTTAGAACTGTGCTGAGGCCAGGGAATCTAAATTACTACAAATCCTCAAATACCCAGGCACTCTTCCTTCCACTGGATATTCAAATTGCTTTTTTATACTGTTTGCAACTTTTCTTGTTATCACAGAGTAAGATTTCATGTTGAATGACTGCCTCTTAGGTTTTCTCTAACAATGCATAGGAAGCCACAAATCAAACTTATAGAACTAGAGAAGTAGAAGATGATTGGTAATGAGCAAAAATACACTAGGTGTCAAAACAATTTGTTGAAAAATTGGGAGCTGCAGGACCAGTATTATATCTCAACCAAAGGCCTTAAATAGCCATGCTTTCCTCTCATTTTCCCCACTCATTCTCCATCTCAAGCTATAATTGTAGGTTTTCTGATTTAATGGGACAGAAAAAGGAACAATTGCATATGTTTGGAATAAAAAAATCAGGTTTTTGGAACAGTCGGTAGTGACAATTTTCAGTAAAATATCAGATGTATAACTTCCACATGTGGCTCTATTTATGTCTCTTTCATTCCATATGTTATTTGATTTCATCAGTTACCATTGATGAGTGATATTATGACTGGAATTTTTAAATAAAAAAGATTAACTTGCAAAAAATGATAACAACATTCACATTCCTAGTAAAATATTTAAATATTCAATGATTGTGTAATGTCATTTTCTAAAAATATGTCATTGGCTTTAAGAAATGAAGTGCTTCTATTAAAAACTAAGCTGAGCAGAATAGTAATAAAATTACAAGATATTGATATAGATGTAACCTTCAAATTTAAGAGTTTTCTCAGGCACAATGTTTTCTACTTTCTGACAGTTCCTACAGAATATATTTTAAAGCAATTATGTTTGACCTCCATTAGATCAGATGTAAACAAACTAAATTATATATTCCTAAAAAAATCCTAACTCCTTTAACAACCCATTGTGGATCTAAAATCCATGAATTTATTCAAAATCCTTTCAAATTTATTTGAGTATCAAATAGCAAGAATTCGTTAATAATGATTACTTAATCTTATAATTTTATGCAAATATGGTTTCTTGTATTTGCCTAAAAAGGATCTATTTCAGCCTAAAAATAAAATCAACAGATTTTTTTTATTAATACTATATATTGTAAAAATCTAAAACTTTTAGGGCATTGCAAAAATGAGCTAGTGTCAAACTTTACCTTCCCAAGCTTTTTTTTTAGTTTATCTATATACAGAATTCACTCTACTCACCTTCATTGCTTTACTTTTCTCTAGAGTTTTCCTAATTTTTTGTGGTGCAGTAACTAGTGTGTGTGTCTGTAGTATTTCCGATGAGACTACTCTTGGTATAATAAAGGCATAGAAAAAAATTTTCTGTTTCCTTTTATGATACCCTTTCTTATAAACTTAGTATCATCTCAGCTTTTAAACAATAGTAGCACTCTGGCTCATAAATCTGGAGAAAAGACTAGATTTCTTAATTGAAAATTCAAGAAACTTTCAAGTCTATTTCTTTGGACTTGAAATTTAGATTGATTTGACTTCCTTTTGTTTAAGTGGATGCTGGTCAGCTAATCTTCCCAATTATGTATGTCCTAACATAAGCAATCAATATGAATCATTGTTGAAAAACTGAAACTGAACTAAACCAAACCAAAAAACCTCTGCATTCTAAACAAAAGAAAGAAGAAGGAGAAGAGAAGAAGGAAAAAGAAGGAGAAGGAGAAGGAGAAGGAGAAGGAGAAGGAGAAGAAAATTCTGTTTAAAAATAAAAACAGGGGCGCCTGGGTGGCGCAGTCGGTTAAGCGTCCGACTTCAGCCAGGTCACGATCTCGCGGTCCGTGAGTTCGAGCCCCGCGTCAGGCTCTGGGCTGATGGCTCAGAGCCTGGACCCTGTTTCCCATTCTGTGTCTCCCTCTCTCTCTGCCCCTCCCCCGTTCATGCTCTGTCTCTCTCTGTCCCAAAAATAAATAAACGTTGAAAAAAAAATTTAAAAATAAAAACAATTTGGTCTCAGTATCATTAGCCTTTCTCACATTTTTTTTCCTATGGAAAAATTCGATCTCCAGCCTTCACCCACACAATTCCTATATAACAGTTTCACCTCAATTATATCTAATGTGGGCCTGATTTGCTTCCCAACGACACAGTCAAGTAATTTATTTCACGGAGATGCCAATTAATTTAAAGTGAAACCTTTTCACAACCATGTGAAGAAGGTGGGATGTTGTCACAATAGTAATCAATTATTACATGAATAAAGAGTCACTCATTTTATGTTCCTCTTATTGTTTTGTCAGATTTGCCATTTCATTTTAATGAGAAATCATCAGGAATGAGTATCAAATGACAACTACTTCAGCTTTGCCATTTCAGAAGAATTTTATAGTTTCATACAATTACTACTTATAGTGTGTGTTTGAACATAAAATGTATACGTGTAATTCACTCTAACAATAAATGAATAGACATTTGTGTGCTTCCAAGTATAACAAGAAAACAACACTTTTTAAATGACCTCATTTCTTTAAGAAACCACATTGTTTTTTCTCCTTATTTTATTTAAGATGCAAAAACAGGATTGGATGTCTGGTAGAGGAAGAAAAAAAACCAACAAAGTTTAATCAGGTTATTGTTTAGTCGTTAAATATTTATGCCTTGTGTTATGTGTTATATCTAGATTAAAACCAGCTATGAATATTTCTGAGAAAAGAAAACTGTCTTATTCAATTCCAATTCTTTTCTTGAGTAATGATTGTATAATTATCTATTCCTGGATATCTCACATAAAACACCATTGTGATGACATGTTTTTACAGATAATGAATTTTAAAGCAGTTAGTTTCTTAAAAATATGATGTATTTTTTGTTCTAATACTTTTAACTTTTTGTGCATTTAGGAAATAAATTGTAATATTTGGATTCTTAATTTTGTGAATAATGATGGCTCAGGTATATAATATAATAAATATCTGACTCTTTTTAAAACTGATTTTAAAAAGTCAAAGTTTTCATAATGTAGATATATTTTTTTTAATTTTTTTTCGACATTTTTTATTTATTTTTGGGACAGAGAGAGACAGAGCATGAACGGGGGAGGGGCAGAGAGAGAGGGAGACACAGAATCGGAAACAGGCTCCAGGCTCTGAGCCATCAGCCCAGAGCCCGATGCGGGGCTCGAACTCCCGGACCGCGAGATCGTGACCTGGCTGAAGTCGGACACTTAACCGACTGCGCCACCCAGGCGCCCCATAATGTAGATATATTAAATATTATTGCATTTATTTCATATAGATTTTAATTTTTAATGTTTATTTTTGAGATAGAGACAGAGTGTGAGTGGGGGAGGGGCAGAGAGAGGGGGAGACACAGAATCTGAAGCAGGCTTCAGGCTCTAAGCTGTCAGCACAGAGCCCAACGTGAGGTTCGAACTCAAAAACCATGAGATCATGACCTGAGGCGAAGTCAGACTCTTAACCGACAGAGCCACCTGGATGCCCCCAGATTTTAAATAAAATATCTTATTTTTAAAGTGGTCTTTTAAGCCTCTAAAAAGTAAATATTTTTGTGCATGATGCCTTTGGAGTATTGTCTTTGTTCTACTTTCCAAATATGCCATGTTTACCACAAAGACATAATCATGAATTCAAAATCATAAAACTGGTTCTCCTTACTTCTTACAAACAGAAAACACAGGGGGAATTCCTATTATCTAGTAGGAAAACTAGATTTTAAAATTAATCGTGCAAAGCAGTGTTTGTTTCATATCTGGACATAAATCTTTCATGGGATCATACCAAAAATCCATTATTAAAAACCAGGAGCACTTCAAGGGAGATTTTAAATGTTGAATTTATGATTGATCTATTACAAGTTTTTTAGTATTATTTGCTGTCCAACAATTCTATAGATTCTTTTGTAGGATCTTCTTTTTGCTAGAAGTGGTCTTAAAATGAGTAAATAAACCCTAACACTAGAAGGTTAAAGATTGATTGGAAACTTCAAATCATGAGCCTGTTTTAAATCAGATAAAAAGCCATTTTCCCAAATGTTGTTTTTATGTTAAGGGGTAGACCAATGGAGAGTAAAAAGTATCATTAGGTAGTGATTTTAAGTATATTTAGAAAGAACTTCATTGAAAATCTAAGGTTATCTGTATATGTGAATGCACGCACACATCCACTGCAGGAACTCTGTTTCTGCTTAAGTTTCTGTCTTTTGAAATGAATTGCTTATTTCAATTGGTTATTTTTAAGTCCATACAAATTGTGTTTCATAATACCTCCATTTCAGATAGGAGTAAAGACTCAGAAAAAAAGAACATGAAAGCAAGTGTTAATCAATTTAGAAGATTTATTTTTGAAATCAATAACCTTGAAAAAAGTCTAAATATAAGCAAAAAACGTTTACTCTCTCATTCTGTAATTAAGTAAAATGAAATCATTAGCTCTGAAACATGAAGGAACATTTAAGTCCATGTGGAAACACTATAATTGTATATTCATAAGTGTTGAATAACTATCATCTGATCAGTTGAGTTTTAAGAATTTCTCACTGAGTTAACAATCCTGAAGTAAGCAGTGTAGAAAACACAAAAAAATTTAAGTCTTCAGAAAGTGTGCCATAAACTGGAAAGACAGCAGTTTTCTACAGCAGCTCATAAAGTATTTTCACAGAGAAAATAATTTTTACCTTGTGTAAACTATGCAATTAAAAGAACTATAGCATATAAATTGCTGATAATTAATATTACTGCATACTATATATAATATAAAATACAAAATAAAATACATATAAAATATCACTATATGTAAAATAGACAAGACTTGCTAAAATGGGGCCAGCTGAAACTTAGAAACTGAGAACCAATGTGTGAGAAATGCAGTGGCCAGGTCCCAGGGAAGAGAGTTGGAGGAATCATGCAGCAGCAGGTGAGAACCATAGGTAGAGAGGTGGCTGGGTGGCTCAGTCGGTTAAACACCCGACTTCAGCTCAGGTCATGATCTCATGGTTGTGTGTTGACAGCTCAGAGCCTGGAACCTGCTTTGGATTTTGTGTTTCCCTCTCTCTCTGCCCCTCCCTCACTCACGCTCTGTGTCTCTCCCTCTCTGTCAAAAATAAACATAATAAAATAAAATAAAATAAAATAAAATAAAATAAAATAAAAACATGCAAAGGGCACAGTCTGACAGGGAAAGAAAAGTGCCAAAGGACACCTTGTAGTGGTTCTTTGGGCCTCGGAAGAAAGGAAGAATAATGCTAAAACGAACAGAAATATCTTGTTAAAAATCAGAAAGACTGAAGCAAGATCATGACTTAGGTTTATGTTAAAGGTATTCAATGTAACAAGTAAAATTGTAGGGCTGCCTATGTCTGGCCTGGAGTTCATGCTCCTCCTGAGGTAAGTAAAGCCCCTTCCTGTCAGCTTTCATAGAAAGTTACAAATGCTCACGTCCTCCACTTCTGAATGAAAAGGCTGTCTCCACACTTAGTCCTGCTCCATTTCTACCCTGTGGTATCCTCCTCACAACCACACATCAGGAAAATTTTGTCTGCACTTTATCTTCACCCATCCGAAATCCATTATTTAACTTAGTGCAAGTGGGGCTTTTCTCTTTGGCCCTCGCTTTTCACTGCAACTGCCAGGGCTGTTTGAGATTAAACCTAGTGACCGATTGTCAGTACTCCCATTATGGCCATGCTGCAGCATTGAACACTGTTAGCCACTTCCTTCATAAAACTTGACTCATGTGGTCTCTGTGATACCCCTTTTCACTACGGTCTTCATTCCCCAGCTGCTCCTTTTCCATCAGCTTCATGGGCTCCTCTTCCTCCGCCTGCTCCTTAGTTTCCCAAAATTAGATTTCTGTTCTTGTTCTCATTCTCCTGTCCCTCAGTACACTCTCCTGAGGGCATCCACACCCCCAGTCTCCACCACCATGTATATTTTGACTCCTGGAGTGATTCAGGTCCTGTGGAATCTGAAACTTAAAGAAAAGGAATACAGAAATCTAAATACAAAATTATGTTTAAAAAAGTGAACACATACTTAAACAAAAAAAATCATACTCTTTGAGAAGCTGAAAAATACCACAGCATTATAGAATCCAAAAAAGTTAACGCAGTGTCATTAATCGTCTGGCACAACTCTATAATTTACTCCATTTCTACTATTTTGTAATATTATAGACAGAATGGAAAAATAAATCAGGCTTTCATCTAACATGGTTCATCAGATATAATTTTTATTACTGATATACGGAACACAAAAAACATGAGACTTCTTACACAGATAAACTTGCTGTACGTAGTATTGCTATAAATTTGTGTCTGAAAAAGGAATTCAGACAAAATTTACCTGTTACAATTCCCTTCAAAAAAATGAGACATTTGTAATTCTGTATTTCATTATTAAACACAACCGTAAAAGAAGAGAACTTGTGTCTGACCAAGCACTAGTAAAAGCAAAATTATCCACCGGAAGTTGTACACATCTGAATGATTAGGAGAATTTCCCACAGAGCAACTTGCAATTCCACATATTCAGACTTTGTTTCTCCTCCATGACCCATATTTTTCTCTACAAGTACCTTGGGACACTTGGCCTTGTCTCTTCGCGTTGTTATGTCAGGTGAGTCAGCACATGGGGAGTAGACATGTTCTTAAAAGCCTTTCCTGAATCAGGATGGCTAGCAACTGCTCAGCTGTGCAGGGACATCCTAAGTACGTCATCCTCAACCTTTATCTTCAATACTAAAATTCTGTATCATCATCACGTCTCTGTTGGATCCCCAAAACTCACCCAACTATTGTCGAGAGGGAGAGTGTGGAGGAGGGAAGTCAGAGTGGAAAGGGATATCAGTCTTAGAAAATTGTGGTTAAAATACCTTATTTCTGCAAATTTTACAAAAACATACAGCCATGTGAGCACCAGGTGTTAAGGTACCTCCCAGAGTCATGCTAGTGAGGTGGCCTAAAGTTTACCTAATCCAGATGGACGTGCCCACCTAGCTGTTACACAAACATCTCAAGTTGTACACACTCAAAAACGATTTGGCAATCTTACCTCCATATAGCACCTCTGATATCCTCTAGTCCTCCTTCAGTTATCAGTCACCTATCCCTGAGTTGCCTAAGTCTAAATGAAAGAGAATGTCTAATTCTCCCTCAGTCTCAAATCTCAATAATCGCTACCTGATATTGATTCCACTTATTTCCATAAACACTGCCACAACCATAGTGGAGATCCTCTTCATTTCTTCCATCCTTCTAACAGTCACCGAATTGGCACCCTCTGTGCCAGTCTTACCACGATGCAATTCATTTTTACATTTTGCCAGAGAGAGAAAGCTTTCTGAGCTAAAAATTATATTAAGTCATCCTCTTAAGGACTTAAGACAAAGAGAAAGCACGAGTGGGGGTGGAGCAGAGAGAGAGCGAGGGAGAATCCTAAGCAGGCTTTGAACTTGTAGTGCAGAGCCCAACGTGGGGCTCGAACCCATGAACCGTGAGATCATGACCTGAGCCAAAGCTGGATGATTAACCGACCGAGCCACCCAGGCGCCCCAGTTTCTGCTTTTTTGTTGAGCCACACCTCTCATCTATTCAGTGTTCCTCATCTCTATACCATTCTACATTCCAATAATATTAAAATATTATAGTTGGCCACATCATTGCCAAGCATTTATACCCATTGCTCCTTCCGCCCAAAACATCACCAACTGAATAACTGGCTCCAATTCCTCTGGTGTTTTGGAACTCTTTCCAGCATGACTGCTTGGACCACTGCCACTACCCTTTATCCCTCTAACCTGGCTCGAGGCTTCCCAGATAAACCCATTCTGTGCCCTTATTAGAGTATGAAACATGTATTACAACTGGTCTCGTGTTCATATTTAAAAAAATGCATGAATTTGGTGAACAAAGCTCTGACACCTGGAGGGTGCTGCAGTGGTTTTAGGTTTGCCATATTTGTATACGATGGCCTGTTGAGATCCTGTTAAATGTTCCATGAGAGTTGATAATAATGTAAATTTCCCACTAAGGCAGAAGCTATAACTGACAGGAAAGCTGAGACTTTTTTACTCTCAAAATCATGAGAATATCTACTCTATCTTTACAGGCTTTAAATATCATCCTTCTTACTTGATCACAAATCATCTTGTTCCACACGATTAAGACCGGTTAGAGTGAAGAATCATAAAAATAAGCAAATATATACGTAAATAAGGATGACCTAAAATATCTGACAATAAGTCAGAGAAGCAAATTATTTTGCTTACAGCTTTTTCACCTTTATCTTTTGATTTCATACCGACAATCAAAATTCTTCAATTTATAGTTCCAGTTTCTTTAAAGTGAATGAGAACCTAAGGACATAATCTGAATGCAGAAATTCTTCCAGATTTTTATTTTCCAAATGTGGGAGCCCAGTCCAGTTGTGGAGTCAGCAGTCAGACTATTTATGGAAGTTGCCCACATTTTCATAACTTGGGTAAGGGGAAGAGTTCAACTATTTAGAACAAAAGGTATACCTGGTCCCCCGTGCTTTCCAAATGCCTCACCAAGTGCACTCTGGGTTATACGAGAAGAGAGATTCTCAGAGACTGGGTTTTTAAACCCAATCAGCCCCAATCCACACCTAAGAAGGAAATGTAACTCCACCGCTATTACCATATCATATAAAAGGTAACAAACTTGCTAGTTGTGACTGTGCCACAAGGCATAAAGATAATATAGAGGGACTTTACATATAGCATAGATACTTTCAAAACTACGCCCTTCCAGAGGCCTGATTATAGTCTAGCACACCAAACTTTTGCTGCTGTTTTACTCACACTTAACTGAATAACAAAATTTAGCAATTCACCTTTGTTGAGTCTTTTCAAAGCATTGGTCTGCATTGAATAAACTCTCTCTTCCTGCACTAATTTTATTTGTGTATTATTTAATTGAATCATGTATTAACAATAGTAAGTAAAGTTTACATAAAGAAATGCGGGGGAAACTTCCCTTTCAATAAACATTCAATTCTACTGGTATGAGGAAATTAGCACTGGCTATAAGAATTCAATATTGCAGAAAGCAAAGAGTATATTTAAAAAATGGAGAGTGGAACAACTCTATGAGGCCCTTCATTGGAGTTCTGTTAAGAGAATATCTAGACTGACTCATAAGATTAGTAATGTAGGAAAATCCATACTTAGTTGTCCAACTAAGTTGTCTGCCTAAGTTGTTGATGGTGTATTAAGAAAACCAGAGCTTGAGGCATCACAATCCTGGACTTTAGCTTCTACCACAAAGCTTCAATCTTCAAGATAGTATGGTATTGGCACAAAAACAGACACATAGGCCAATGGAATAGAACAGAGAACCCAGAATTGGACCCACAAGTGTATGACTAATTAATCGTTGACAAGGCAGGAAAGAGTATCCAATGGAAAAAAAGACAGTCTCTGTAGCAAATGGTGTTGGGAGAGCTGGACAGCAACATGCAGAAGAATGAAACTGAACCACTTTCTTATACCATATACAAAAATACACTCAAAATGGATGAAAGACCTAAATGTGAGACAGGAAGCCATCAAAACCCTAGAGGAGAAAACAGGCAACAACCTCTTTGACCTCAGACTCAGCCATGTCTTACTCGACACGTCTCCGGAAGCAAGGGAAATAAAAGCAAAAATGGGCTATTGGGACCTCATCAAGATAAAAAGTTTCTGCACTGCAAAGGAAACAATCAACAAAACTAAAAGGCAACCGACGGAATGGGAGAAGATATTTGCAAATGATATATCAGACAAAGGGTTAGTAGCCAAAATCTATAAAGCACTGACCAAACTCAACACCTGAAAAACAAATAATCCAGTGAAGAAACGGGCAGAAGACATGAATAGACACTTTTCCAAAGACATACAGATGGCCAACAGACACATGAAAAGATGCTCAACATTGCTCATCATAAGGGAAATACAAATCAAAACCACACTGAGATACCACCTCATACCAATTAGAGTGGCTAAAATTAACAACTCAGGAAACAACAGATGTGGAGAAACAGGAACCCTCTTGCACTATTGGGGGGAATGAAAACTGGTATAGCTGCTCTAGAAAGCTGTGGAGTTTCCTTAAAAAATTAAAAATAGATCTACCCTACAACCCAGTAATAGCACCACTAGGAATTTATTCAAAGGATACAGGAGTGCTGATTCATAGGGGCACATGTACCCCAATGTTTATAGCAGCACTTTCAACAATAGCCAAATTATGGAAAGAGCCGAAATGCCCATCAACTGATGAATGGATAAAGAAGATGTGGTTTATATATACAATGGAGTACTACTACTTGGCAATGAGAAATGAAATCTTGTCATTTGCAACATGTGGATGGAACTGGAGAGTATTATGCTAAGTGAAATAAGTCAGAGAAATACAGATATATGTTTTCACTTATATGTCGAATTTGAGACACTTTACAGAAGACCACAGGGGAAGAAAATAGGGAAAAAAAAAATAGTTTCAAACAGAGAGGGAGGCAAACCATAAGAGACTTTTAAATACAGAGAACAGGGGCGCCTGGGTGGCGCAGTCGGTTAAGCGTCCGACTTCAACCAGGTCACGATCTCGCGGTCCGTGAGTTCGAGCCCCGCATCAGGCTCTGGGCTGATGGCTCAGAGCCTGGAGCCTGTTTCCGATTCTGCGTCTCCCTCTCTCTCTGCCCCTCCCCCGTTCATGCTCTGTCTCTCTCTGTCCCAAAAATAATTGAAAAAAAATTAAAAAAAAATAAATACAGAGAACAAACTGAAGGTTGATGGTGGTGGGGAGAGAGGAAAATGGGTGATGGGCACTGAGGAGGGCACTTGTTGGGATAAGCACTGGGTGTTGTATGTAAGCGATGAATCATGGGAATCTACTCCCAAAACCAAGAGAACACTGTATACACTGTATGTTAGCTAACTTGACAATAAATTATATTTTGAAGAAAAAA